TGAAACTACAATTTTTGTAATATCCTCTAACAATGCAAGATCGAATCGTGAAATTAAGGGGAAAGGCAAACTCGGCCTCGTGATTTTCCTGAAGAAGGGCGTGTCACTCGAAATCGCTAGTTGCCAGCTTTGGTCATAGCGATCTCAACCAAATTTTTAAATATTCAAAATATGAAATCGCAAAGATTGTATATTTGAAAATTTCATGCAGTTTTACTATTTTTGATACGCCCATTAAATTTTGACACGAAATAGCGGCTATATCCTAAATAAAAAACAACCGTTGCTCTGCAGCGATATAAACTTCAACATCATTTTGAGAACTAATTTTTTTAGAATGTGTAGTTTAGAAATAAATGAATCGAAATTTCTTGGAAAATTTTCCTGCAATTTCTCGAATCAAACCTTAAACTATGAGATGAGTTTTTTGCAGTAGTTTAAGCTTTTTTGACCAAATGGCAAATAGGCAAAGTAGCTATAGTCTCGAAATCAGCTCAGAAATCCGTGTTTTTTTCTTTCCCTTTACTGTCACAAATTTGTCAATTATCCCAATAGATTGTTGGCAAATTGATCGACACGAAAGATTTCAAGCTTCATTGCATTTTATTACCATTCATTTTTCACGGTGATCACCTGACCATCATTTTCAAACCGATAGGAGTAACTTCGTCATTTTTTTCTAGTAATCTTTGATGACCATGAGTTAGAATGATTTTTATAAGAAATAAATGACAAAAAAAAGTAGGGTTACTTATTTCGATTAAGTTATAAATAGAATAGTTTGTTTGATAACTTATTTATTTTTGGTTTGTATCTTAATAAATTTAAAATAATTCGGCCGAAAAAAATTTGAAAAAAATCCGTTTTAAAGTGTTTGATAGAAAGTTTATTCAAGTTTTGAAGTTGTAGTTAGTTTAAAATAACCTACTATAGTCTAAAAACAGTTTTTCTCAAGTTTTAATTGACAAACAAATTAATTGATGAATGCATTGGATTTTATAGGAATCTGTTTGTTAAACTTGGATTGCCTACTTGATTTTTCTTTCTTCAAAATGATCCATGTCTATTAGAAGTTTATGAATTTTTTTAGAAATTTGGGGTATCAAAAGACGTATATTCAAATAAAATACCTCGGCTACTTTACTTTAAAAAGTACACATTTTTTAGCTTTCAAGCTAAGCTCTTATGTAAAATTCTAATCAAGAAATTTTGTTAATTCGCATTCATAGAATCTCTCAATTTTTGCTAAGTAGCATAGATAATTATACAGGATGGTTATTTTGAATATTACTTATACATTCTCAAAACAGATGAAAGAGATGCACAGAACCGTATTGCGTTCTGTCAATTCTTGCTGAATGAAATAGATGCTGATCCAGGCTTTATGGATCGAATTCTCTGGACTGACGAATCAACATTCGTACGGAAGGGAATGTTTAATCAGCACAATGAGCATCAGTGGGCTCATGAAAATCCGCATGTGGCTCGGGAAGGTAAGTGTTTTGAACAGTTAAAGACCCCATATTGTAAAAAAAATCAATCCCATGAAAATTTCCCTATGCGTGTGCGTCTTCTATTGAAAGAAAATTTATTTTTAGGATACGCTTAATAATAAACATTTTTTAAGTATTTTTCAAACACTTTTTCTATACCCCCTGCACGAAAACGCGACTCTGCGCACGCTTCAAAAAGCAATGGTACTCCAAGTCGCATCTTTGCGTTCGGAAAACCGAAAATGTTAAAAAGATATATCTAAAAATTTATATTATTACGAGTGTAATAAAAATAAACATTCTTCCAATAATACACGCACACACACTATGTAAATTTCCCTATGGAAATTTTAATCGGATCAGCAGTTTATTTTGGAATACGGGGTCTCCGTACCGGGATCCGGCCGTGAATTTGTCATTGGGTGCGTTAGTTATGATTTATAAAAAAACAGTCTACGATCTCTAGCGATTGACAAAAAAATTTTTCTCTATCGAAATAAAATTTGTATTTATAGGTCTATAAACAATTATTAATGAAAATGTTATTTAGTTCGTTCGAATTGCTTTTTCAGACCACATGGAGGTCCGTTTGGTGGGTGAATATATTAAATAAATATAGCGATGATTTAAGTGTAAAGGAAAACTTGATGTTTTATTAAAAGTAGACTCACTACTACAAATACTTAATAGTAGAGACTTAGTCTACGCAAAGACCGCGCATCTCGCAGAGAGTAGAGATGTAAGCGTGTCGGCAGTTCTAGCGTGAGTGACGATTCACTCGTTATACCTCAGCGAAGATGCTTCCCTTGGGCATCGGGGGAAGGTAAGTCCCACCCACGAAGTCCGTGAAAAGGGTAGCTGAGGACCAACGGGAAAGCAGGGTGATGAGACGTGTTTTGTCGCTAACAATAAGGGATTAGCAAGAGCGCAAAGTAATTTTCATTTATTGCGGGCGCGCCATAAAAATCGAAATTCGGCGCGGCAGTTAAGCGGCAGCCGCGCGACAGCTGAACTAAATTATTTTATTGATGCTGGAGAAAAACTGAAAGTTTTAACCAAGTAGATCAACAGATAAAGCACGTCCGCTACACACACATAAACAATGGGACGATAAAGTAAAAACTGATTGACAGTTCATACATTATTATGAGTATAAATCTAAATCACGAAGAAAATGTAGTTCGTATATGCATCTAGAAGTGCGAAAGACTATTTAAGAGCAATAATTTTTTGTGAAGCGAGATGTTCATTCACTGTTTTTAAAAATTATCATGCACTGATACTTTATTTCGTAGTACGAATGTATACAATTCCTCACGTATTTTTCAGTCAAATTTTCCTTTAATAGCCTTAAGATTGTGGGCACGTAGAAGAGAAAAAACGAAATAGAACAAATGCAATCATATAAGATTAAAATACTAACATAAATATTACTTTTTGTAAATAATATGGTTAAATTATCAAACTGCAATTCTTTGTACGGTATGACTCGCTTCGCTCACATTGTCTCAAAAAACACAATACGACATATGCGTGGACAGGAGACGTCTTGCGTCGCCAAACATCTATCAAAATGTGCTATAAACTGAAAAATTTATAAATTTTGTTCATTATTTCCAGATCGATTTCAAAATCGGTTTTCAGTCAATATGTGGACAGGCTTGATTGGTAATCAAGTTATTGGTCCGGTACAACTTCCAAACCCATTAAACGCTGAAAATTACCTTGAGTTCCTGCAGGATATACTTCCAGGATTGCTTGATAAAGATGGTGTGCCAGAAGAACTGCAAGAAAATCTTATTTTCATGCATGACGATGCACCAGCACATACTGCTGCGAATGTAAGGAATTATCTTGATCAGGTAATTATTATAGTATACATTGTTGTTGGAAATATGTAAAAACGTCTCGCTTATTTTGCTCTGCGCGTGTGCGTGACTGCACGTCTCGCTCTCTCTTGGCGGCTAGCGGCGTTGCCGCTCAATTCGTTCTAGTCTCTTCCGTGACGCGGACACCAAAAGCTTTCTCTCGAATAAAGCATTTCTTTTCTACAACTGTTTATTCACTTATTCTGCCTGCTTTACCCTTCCTTACCAAAAATTGTATTACGCAATTTCTCCTAATGAAAGTCTTAACGCTCTGAAATTTCATGTAGGATAATTTTGTCGTGGCTTTATGCCAATTATTTGCTGAAGGGAATATTGCTCTGACTTGAAAGGAAATTTAATTACTTTTATATTATTCTTTATAAAAATATAAAAGTCGTTCTAGGACAGATAGCCTTATGAAAATTTTCTACTTTGTATCATACTTGACGAGTTTTATTTCCGTCGCTCAAAGATTCTCAAATCTCAATTAAAATTCGCTCTCCTCCTCTTTCCCTTTTATTTCAACTCTACTTTGAATATAACATTTTTTAATCTCTACGTATGCTACCAGTATTTTGATTACTCGTACTACTTCAGTCTACAGAAGTTTTAAAACCAACACGACTTCATTAGTATACTTCGGGTAGCATGTGAGAGTGCATTCACAGTACAGCGCTAGAAACCAAATATGTATATGTCTGTACATGCACCTGCATGTACAACTGTCGGCTAGAAAAATTATTGGTTTCATAACAAATTTTACGCAGGTATATTCAAATCGCTTATAAAATATTTTAATTCTTCAAGGTATATGGCGTCCATTGGATAGGCAATAATGGTCCAGTACGCTGGCCAGCAAGATCTCCTGATTTGAACCCATTGGACTACTTTTACTGGGGGACATCCAAAGAAGCAGTTTATCACAATGGCGGCCTCAATGGCCCAAATGAAATGATTCAATGAATCCAACATCACGCCCAGCATCTAGAACCTGACAAAATACATGCAGCTACACATCAGATAAAACGTAGAGCTATTTTGTGTATTCAGCAACAGGGGGGGTTTTTCGAACAATGCTTGGATGGTGTTGATGGTGGTAATGGTGATGATGATGTTGTTGAGGAGGAGGACGAGATTGGTGATGATGTTGATGTTTCAATACACAGGTATTGAACCGTTCTTATTATTAGCACGCGTTCAATCAATGAATACGTATATTAGTATGTAGACATAGGAGATCCGTGTTGCACGACTGGGTTGAGCACCGCTTGCAGTCAGCGGCGTCGCGCGCCGCTCCCCCCCTCCCGCCCCGCCCCCATCACTACTCCGCGCTCGCCACCAAGCGCCCGTTCTTCTAAAGCTGTGCGCTAATTGGACGATCTTTGAAGCTAATTATCTAATTACCTAATTATTTAATCGAAAAACTAAGAACACAATTCTAAATTAATTTTTCGAGACGCATCGAATGGAATTATTAGTTACATATGTTTTTGAATCACCGTGTATAAGATCATCAGTACCTCCTCAACTGTCAGATTTTACTTTTCTTGAAAAGCATATGGGGAGGATTATAATACTTACAAAGAGTGACAAAGTAATTCATAGCAAAGTCCGTGTTATGTTAATGATTTGAACTCACCTAAAATATCAACATGTGAACCGCCAAAGCTATCAAGGTAATGTTGAAATGGTAAGCAAACTGGACCGACCTCATTAGTAAAAGAAATAGTACCACGGATACTTATGACTGCTATGTCATAATCTTTTTTATTTGAAATATAATTTGGATGAACAACATAATTTTCCACTTGATACAACTTAGTAGCATTTGTTTCATCTCCTTTAAAAATAATATTAAAATTATTATTCAAATCAATTTTCCCAATGATCAAGTCGCTGAGAATACTTTAATTATCTGGTACCTGTTGTTAAATCATGGTCGCCGACGAGAATTCCGATATCTTCAACAGTTAGATCATTCAGACAATGTGCAGCGGTAAGAACATATTCATTAGAAATTATTGTACCACCACAGTAAACTTGGTAAATAGGAACATGGATGATACCAACCATCATTGTGAATTCATTGATACCAGTTTCTCCACCTCCTACAATTTTGGTCTGTAATTCACTTATATTATAAAGTTAGAGATATATCATACAAGTTTATTGTTTATTCCCTTATAATCACTCTACTAATATAAGCATAATTTTATTTTTATATATTATATTTAAAAAGAATTCACTCGACACATTCAATTCGAGCAAACTTTTATTTAAATGCTGACGCTTCAGTCGGTTAATATTCGACCATCTTTAGAGCTAAAAATCATATATAAATTAATACGAAGGTGGTCCGATAAGTACTTAGCCTACAAAAGAAAAACGAAAATTTTGGAAAAGTGGCGTTTTATTTTTCAACATAGTCTCCATTTAGTTCGATACACTTGGCCCAGCGATGCTCCAACTTCTTTAACCCGTCTAAAAAATACGTTTCCTCGAGGTCTGAAAAGTAGGCTTCCGTGGCAGCGATTATCTCCTCATTCGACTCAAATTTCTGCCCGGCAAGTGACTTTTTCAAGTTTGGAAATAAAAAGAAGTCGCACGGGGCTAAATCTGAAGAATACGGTGGATGGGGCAGCAGTTCGTAGCCTAATTCGATCAATTTGGCGACGGCGGAGGTGTGAGCCGGTGCGTTGTCATGGTGGAAGAGCACTTTTTTCTTCGCCAAATGGGGCCGTTTTTTCTGCAATTCGACGTCGAATCGGCCCAATAATTCGGCATAGTACAGCCCTGTGACCGTTTTGCCCCTCTCAAGGTAGTCGATGTAGATCACACCTTGTGAATCCCAGAAAACAGTGGCTATCACCTTTCCGGCCGATGGGGCAGTCATCGCCTTCTTCGGACCACTTTCGCCGGGTAAAGTTCACTGTTTCGACTGTTCCTTGGTCTCTGGTGTATACCAGTGGATCCATGTTTCGTCGACTGTCACGAAACGACGCAGAAACTCCTTCGGATTGCGCTTAAACAGTGTCAGACATTGCTCTGAAATTGTCTCACGGTTGCGCTTGTTGTTCGGAGTGAGCAAACGCGGCACCCATCGCGCCGACAGCTTTCTCATGCCCAAAATTTCATGCAGAACATGATCCACGCGGTCTTTTGAGATGCCTACGATCTTAGCTATCTCGCACACCTTCAATCGTCGATCTGCCAATACGAGATCGTGAATTTTTGTCACGTTATCCTCCGTGGTATCCATTTTCGGAGAACCTGGACGTGGCTCTTCAAAAATCGACGTGCGACCACGTTGAAATTCGTTGGCGTTTTGGGCTTCGGTTTGAGAGGAAAGGAATGACAGGCGCACACAATAATCACTCACGATAACCGTTAACAATATTTATTCTCGACATTTAACAATAAAGAACGACGACGCGAGTACACGCATCGTCCTTAACGCCGCGTAGCTGCGCTCGTGCGGACAATCGCACGGGGCACGGTATAACGATTTGAGAGAGTACAAAGGAGGAACTCGTTATAATCGTGGAATTCGCCGTGCTCGCGAATATAGAGAGAAAGAGAGAGAGAGAGAGAGAGAGAGAGAGAGAGAGAGAGAGAGAGAGAGAGAGAGAGAGATGACCTGACCTGGTGAAGGCTGCTGGCAGGAACCGCTGTTAATGCTGCTGGCAGAAACTGTTGCTGAAGTTTCCGGCAGGAAATGCTTCAGGAACTGCAGACTAGAAATACTGCGGGGCTGCTGGCAGACTCGTGGCAGGCTCGGATGTGCATTCTACAATGCTAACGTCGTTGGAAGTCCTCGTTCCGTGCTGCAATCTGCTCGTTGTCCTCTGCTTCCTTTGTCTGATTTACCTCTCTTTCACGTGCGCACGCTCGGCCGTCAAACGATCCGTCTAACTCTGAATCTCGGTTCGAACTCTCTCCCCTAATCGTTCGCGCGTCATCTCGAGCAACGCCGGCGACTTCGCTCTCGCGAGTGGATCGCCGCGGGTCACTCGCGCTCGCTTACTCTCTATTCGCGACGCGTCTATTCGAGAATGCTCTCTCTCTCTCTTCTTCTTGCCGCAGCCGCTCTCGCTCCCAATTGGCTCCTAATGACGATGCCCGGCTTAGGTATTGGTCCTGAAATAAAGCGGTACGAGCATCGGTTCGTATTTTCAAATGCTCACCAAGGCAACAGCGAAGGACCGAGGCTGCGAGAGAGAGAGAGAGAGCGAGTCAGACAGGACCGGCTATTCTAGCCAGGGCCCCGTCACACAGTTTAAACATAAAATAAATCGGAATGAGAGTGTAATTATGATGATGTGTAGAGTTGATTAATTTACGTAAGATTTTTAGTTCTGAAGATGGTCGGATATTCATTTATCGAAACGTTAGCGTTTAAATAAAATTTTGTTTAAATAAATGTGTTGAGTGTATCATCGTTAATTATAATGTATAATTATTAACTTATGAAAAGCTTGAAAGAGTAAAAACCAAACATAATTTTATTTTCAGCATAATATTCAATCTAAAAATATTTATAATAACTTATTACGAAGTATGAACTCCAATTTTGAAATTGGCTGATTTAGTATGGTGGATATAATGATTATATTGGGTCTGCGATATTAAATATAAGCCATAAAATAAAGTCTTTCTATTGAATTTCACAGAAACTAATTAAAATTTCGTAAAAATACATCTTTAACGAACGAAATTTCTGAACATAGAGAAAAGCATCGTATTTTTATAGTTACAATCTCCAAATTTAATATGGTATCGAGTATTTTTATGAAACGAGAAATAGTAATATTGAATGATTGCCCAATGTATTGCGAATATTTTTAGCGTATTTTTATAATGATTAATATTAATAAAAGTACGCCTGACAATCTTATGCAAATATCTTTATAAATAATTTATTCTATCGTTTCATTTACTACTTTACCATTCATTCACTTATTTTATTATCTATTGTTACACACGGAGAAACCCTAATTGCTACCGAAGCCTGGCGCATCATTAAGAAAGGTCTAGTAGATCTAGTCCCAGGAAGCTGCAAGAGCTAGCGCGGACTGAGCATAATTTCCTATGCGCGAGATGTCCTGATTGAGCATTACAAATGCCTAGAAATATGAGAGAGATATTTCGCTACATTTTATATAGTTTTCCTACCGAAAATGTTGCTCTTGAGGAATTAGTCTCTTTCGAGAAACTGTCTTGTCTCGATGTGTAACCTGAGCATGTATTTAACCCGAATACATTAGTATTTACATTAGTATATAATCTCATACGTTGCATAAGCGTGTAAGCTTATCATATTACCTATTATTTATACATCTTGCGAATTTACGATGTACGTAAAAAGAACTAGTGATAGGATAGGCGGCTACGCTAACAGAGGACTCATCGTTATTTTGAGGTATTGTTATAATCCGCTACCTTAATCCATTAACTCAAGCTATACGAGTATGTTTTTTATACCTCTCTTTCAGCGCTCACAGCTATTGCATTTCGAGGCGAAAAAAATCACAATAGCTCTATTTATATAGCTTAAAATGTGCTATTTATCATTTAAATTATCCAATAACTTCATTTTTTTTACTGCAAAATGTTATATAAAATAGAACATCATTATTATCTAAGATAATTTTTGTTTTTTCAAATCGACTTTTTAAAGAATTACCTGCTTGGAATTAACTTCGAACTAATTTAGATCGTGAACGCGATGTCTGAATCTAAAGGAAATGGGGTGTCGAGTCAGTTTGACAAATTATCATTTCAAAATGGCGCCCGAGGTTCAAAATATTTGCTAAAATATTCACAAAATACTTTCTCGGAAATGCTGCATTTTACCCAAAATTTCTTGAAAGAAAAATTACTTAGAATTGGCCAAAGAATACATCTGAATTTTTTCGAGAAATTATGATCAACTCTTTTGATTTTGCAAATTGTCAATTTTTGATAAATTGCAAGAATCTTTCGAAAAGTTTTAATACTGTAACGGTCGTGATATATCTAAATAATAAATCGGTGCTCGTTAACAAAATAAGTCACCGTCACTCCCACGTTGCGAAGCTAACCGCCGCTTCGTTGGAGGAAGACTTACCTTCCGGCTGTGGTGCCGACTGCTTCGTCGGATGCGTGCTCGACGTACTGCTTGCGCGGGGGAGTCGGTGGATTCGGATAGCTGGGCAGAGGAGATACGTGTGCTTCTGCCCACGTCAGTAAACAAGGCGGCCGATTAATTGCAGACACCTTTTATTCGTATAGCGGTTTGCTTACATCCCGTAGAGAAAGATGCCGAGAGCTTTACTCAGTGATACGTCGCTGCGTCGCGCAACGACGATACGCTAGGTTTTACCGCGAGAGAGAGAGACAGAGAGAGAGAGAGAGAGGTATAAATGGACCGATCCTCGCACGCTTAATAAAACATAATCTTTTCGCAGATAATTGTACGCCGGTGAGATTACTCAATCCTTCTCGTTGTAGTCCCGCGCAAAACCTCTATCAACTCTTCGGTCGCCGGCCCCGTGCGCTGGCTTTCGTCGCCCAGGAGGTGCTTTCTTCTCTCTCCTCGAATTCCTTCAGCACTCGTTGAAGCTTTCGTGACTTGGGCGACGGCACTCACTCTTGACGCACTTAACTTGGTGCACCCATTGGATTCAGTTTCCAATCCTCGTACTTTTGCACTCCTTAGCTCTCTTTTCTTCTAATTCCCAGTTTCCTTTCTTTTTACTGATCCTCTCGATAAGCCGGTTCACACGTGAATGTCGCTCGCGCCTACCCCCACCCCTCACGGTCCTCTCTCTGTTCTCTCCGCTCGCGCACGTTTTTCTGCGCAGCTGGCCCGCGCTCGACACGCGCTGGCCCTCTATTAAGTTGATTTTTGCCTTAACGAGCCGGCTCGTTACAACTCCCCCCTAGGCGGAAATACTTTTCACATGCCGAATAAAACCGGAAAGGGGAAAATCGCTTAACGGAAGCAAGGAGTGGATGGGTGTAGGGATAAATGAGGGGTAAATACTGGTTTTATTTACATTTTTATTTTCGTGTCACTCTCGGTAGCATCGATGGTCCCGTATCCTTGGGCACCGGCTAGACCTAGTGACGCCCGGATACCC